GGTTGAGAAGATGGGAAACTAAAAAATAAATCATGTGAAGAGATCGAACCTGTTTTATCCACACAACCCTTGGTAGGTGTGAGTTCCTGGAAAGGAAAAGAGTCCTCATCGAATAGGACATGGCAAGACAAATAAACTCGTCTTGTGGATAAATCTTAGCATTTATATCCTTGATGGTTAAGTGAATATCCTAAAAACACATAAGACTTTGATTTGGACTCAAGTTTATTATTAGTATACGGTCTCAACCATGGAAAACAACGACTGCCAAATACTTTAAACATCTCATAGTTAGGCTTCCTTTGAAACAATTTTTCAAATGGTGAAATATTTGAGAGACCACGAGTTGGAAGTCTATTTATAATATAAGTGGCTGTTTGAAATGCATCGAACCAAAATTTATTAAGGACATGAGCATGAGACAACATGACTAAACTCGTTTCAACAATATGACGATGTTTTTGTTCAGTGAGACCGTTTTGTTCATGGTGTTTAGGGCACGAAAATCTTTGAGAAATTCCATGTAGTGCAAGAAATTGAGTAGAAGCGTGACTCTTATATTCTCCTCCCTCATCACATTGAAGAGTTTTAATAGTACAATTAAACATATTTTCCACTTTCTTTTTAAACGTGATAAACACTTCAAAGACTTGAGATTTTTGCTTAAGGGGAAAAATCCATGAATATTGTGAAAAATCATCCACAAAAATCAAATAATATTTATATCCTTCAACTTAAACCACAGGAGAACACCAAATATCAGAATGCAAAAGTTCTAATGGAAATTTAGAAATAGACTTGGAGGTACTAAACGGCAATTTAGAAATCTTGCCTAATGGGCATGACTGACAAAACTTTACATCATTGGTGCCATGAATTGGCACTTGATTATTTGAAACTAAAAACTTGATTATTTGAACGGCAGGATGGCCTAAACTAGAGTGCCATTTGTGCCAAGACACGAACTCCTACGAATGCAAACAAAGGATGCTTAGATATTCCACAACCACTTTGAAATGGGTATAAGCCATTCTCACACTTCCATTGGACTAGGTCTTGAGGTCCTTAACAACAAAATGGTATGGAAAAATTAAAAGGTAACAATGGTTATATAGGGTAAATCTATGAGCATATATTATGTTTGTTGAAGCAGATGGACAATGCAAAATATTATTAAGGTTAAACAAGCAAGAAGTAGTATTTATTTGATTCGAACCAGATTGAGCAATAGAAAGGCCAGTGTCATTATCTACACCTCCAATGTTTTCATTACCATTGTACTCTTTAGGATTCACCAAGTTCTATCAAGAGTGATGTGAGCATTTGCTCATGTATCGAGCAACCAGGAACCATTGTTTAGGCGATTCAAAACAATCGGTGAAGACTCCATTGCACTCAGACGCTTGGTGGGAATACGACCTTCATACGTAACATTCATGCGTTGATAACAATCAAGGGCTAGATGCCCTTCCTTTCCACATATTTGGTAGGTAATACGATTGCCTCTACACCCAAACCGATCACGATTACCACCAGAAGCATGCTGGTAGTTGTTGTTGCGAGAACTAGAGACTCGTGGATTAACATCTCCACGATTGGACAAAAAACCATAGTACCACGAGAACGTCCACCACATCCTCTCGCCTTTACAAAAGCATTCACTGGGGCTGATTCAACTAGTGGGACAGTTTGTTCCACCATCATTCTCTCCGTAGTCAAGAGAAAAGCTTTAATAGTTGGGTACGTGATAAATGTATCATGTTCCTGAGCAGCATTGACGGTTATTTCAAACGCATGACCAAGGTTGTTCAAAATGATTTGGGCAAGTTCATCATCGTCCTTAGGCTTACCAGTTGAAGCCAAATTATCAGTAATCGCATTCATCTTATCAAGATAATCAGCAACAGATAACTCACCTTTCTTACTTTGGAGTAGTTCATTGCAGAGGAAAAGGATTCAATTTTGGGATGATGACGCATACCTTTGCTTGAGTGTTGCCCATGTTGTACGAACAGACTGTTTGCTTGCCACAGTAGCAAGAATTGAGGTAGTGAGAAAGCCATTGATCTAGCTGAGGATCATTTGGTCTTGCTGCATCCACTTGTTGTAGGCGGGATTGACAGAGTTGCTCCCAGCAAGGTGTTTGGGAGGGCAAACAACGGAACCATCGACGTAACCCATAAGATCATGACTTTTAAGGATTGGAAGGATTTGAGCTAACCACAGGGGATAGTTAGTCCTATCTAGCTTAATGTTGACAACAGTAGTCATGGAAGAAGCCATGTTGGCAACAGGAAATGCAGGTGGGGGATTTTGGTGGGAATGACTCGCACCAGTGTTGTTGTTGTTGGAAGACATGATGGGTAGAAAAAAAAATTGGATCTTCTATTGTTGGACTTATAAGGCTCTGAATACCATAAAGAACTAGGATTTGTAAAGAACTAGGTTTCCAGTAAACTGGTTTTCCAGGATAGTAAATACCGCACAAGGTTTTTCTTCACTATATTGCATAGCCTCAACAGCGTAGGGTGCAATCTATTTATAATCAACTTCAGATTACATCAGGACTTTCAAAATCCTATTTACAAGGTATAATTCAAAATTCAAAAATAACAAACTATCACTTGAATACACGGTGGAAACTGATTACAACAACTTTGAAAAATCAAATAATAATAACAGAAAAGCTAGCCAATCAGAACTGCTGACCAAGTAAACAAACTCAGGAGTTTGTATTGGAAGAGGATTCACGACTCAGTCTTTCACAAAGTTCCATGCATTTCTTCCTGAGGATTCATTTATTTTTTCATGATTTGAATTTGGTTTGATAAGAAATAAAACAGGAATGCGATAAGGGTTACAAAAGCTTCATTCAAATCCAAAAAATAAAAGAAAAGAAAACGCCATTGCCGAGGATCGAACCTGGGTCATCCGAGTGACAAGCAGGAATACTTACCACTATACTACAATGACTTTGTTGTACTTTTAGAACATATTCAATACATACAACCATGTCATGTTATAAATTTTCTAAATTTCAGTCTCTCATAAGTTCAATAATAAGCTTCTTTTTATTGAATACCTACACATCTTTTGAGAAATAATTTTCACATCTTTTTCTCCTTTCACATTTATTTTTATTCTTTCAATCATCAGATTAAAGAAATTAAAAAAAAAAAAAGGGTAAAATAAAAAGGAAGAAGTGCGAAAGGAGGAAATAAATTGCATTGATATTTTCCCATCTTTGTTACAGACCAAAATAATGCTAAAGAACAAGAGATTTATAGCCCAAGTGATTAAAAGTATTCACTTCTTACAATCAAGTTGTGTTCAGTTTCCAGTTTCTCAATATCGTTTGTATTGTAAAATAGGATACTTATCTTTCGAAAACTAATTACTTTTCCAATTTAGTTTTGGTTCATTGAGGTTAGGTTTGGGTGATGGGGGAAATTATTAATTTTTTTTTTTTGAACAAACGATATTATCTACACTAAGGGAAAGGGGGTAGGCTTAGCCTTACAATGGGCTAGCAATAATGTGGTTCAAACTCACCTTTGGCGAGAATCAAACTTAAGACCTCTCACTTACAAGTGAAGATGAATACCACTAGACCATAGTATTAAGTGGTGGGGAAATTATTCTTTTAGGAATAGTGCCATTCACTTACTCATTTGTACCTCCCACACACTCTTTTTAATTTTGGTCATTGATTTTCTTCAATTCATTAAGTTTGATTGCCATAAATTGAGAAGGATGTGTGTGAGGTAAAAATTAGTATGTGAATAGCACTACCCTTCTTTTAGTTGAAGTGTTTATGGGTTTAACAGGAGATGCCCTATTCAGGATGCTCTACTTTGTATGTTATTGCTTTGGCCCATATTATTCCAACACGGTGACATAGCACACTATGCTCCTTTATTTTTATTTTTTTGTCGTTATATTGTACAAACTAAACGAAAGCAATATATAAAATTAGGGAACTCTAACGAAAAGTTCTAGGTACTGTTCACTTTAACAAAAAACCACATTTTAACACTAAAAAGTCAATCCTGGTACTATTCATTTTACCCTTTGTTTTGTCCTTATCGTTAAAACTCAAAGTTTTCAAACCCTTTTCATTAGTTTTCCTATAAAATTAAGGGACAATTTGAGATTGCTTTGCTTTTTTAAAAAAATTATTTTTGATGTGCTTTAAAAGTAATTATTTGTAAAATAAAGCAGATGAGGTAAAATGTATTTTTTTAAGGGGTGTGCTATCCACACACCCCATTTTGCTTCTCACACACCCCTTGATAATTTATGTCCGTTGATCTTCTTCAATTCATCCGATCTGAAGATCAAAAATTAAAAAAGTGTGCGAGAAGTAAAATGGGATGTGTGGATACCACACCCGCTTTTTAAATATTGTGAGTATGAAAATGAGTGTAAAAACGTTGATAATTTTTAATGTAAAAGGAATATAGTTGTATATAATAACAAATATGGACATGGTAGTAGGGGTGGTGGCGATGATAGCGGTGGTGGTAGAGGCAATGGTGGGGTATAGTGGTTGTGCCAGTAGTGGGGATGGTGGTAGAGGCGATGGTGGTGGCGTTTGTGGTTGTGGTTATGGCGGCGGCGGCGGCGGCAACAATGGTTGTGGTGGTGGTGTAAGGTTAGTGTTTGTAGTGGTAGGTGGTGACAGTCACTTTATTTTCAAAGAAATAAAATGTATGGACAGTTAAAAATAATGTCATTTCAAAATCTAATGAGTAGTACATGAGTTGAAAATATGTATTAAATGTTGAACTCCACTTTTTATTTAAACACCTTTATTTTAACCGAGCGACTCATCACATATAAAAAAATAATTTCCGGACATTCTTCTTCTTTTTACTCACATGTGCCAACTATTTTCCATTCCCAAATCCAATAAACCCTCCCACATGCATTTATTTACCTGATTAAACAACACGTAGTCAATCTTTTCGTGGTTATCATTTAAAGTAGCACTGTCTCTCTCATTAGAAACCAAAAGCTCATCCAATCTGCTCGTCCACCAACCATCCCTCTCTCACCTTATCCATTCAACATCTCTCATCCCATGCCATACAAAACTCAGCCCATTTGGTTTCCCTTCATCTCTCTACTTGTACAAACCACAAACCCCGTAACAAAAAAGGTAACAACATATTTCCTCACCAAAACAATCCATTTTTCAATTAACTTTGTCTAAATATTTGTGTTTTTTCTTCTTCAGAAAGTTATAGCAATGGCAACAGCCTCAGCCACTGTCTCTCCAGCAATGGTTGCTGCCACCACAGTGGCCAAATCAAGGAGGATGAATTCATCAGCAAACAATGTGACGTACATAACAGGACTCAATGCCTTCTCTGGACTCAAAGCTCAGAGCAGTGTGGCCTCCCTTGGCCTTCCACAGAGCACTGAGCAGTCCTTTGCTAGGGTTGTGAGCTCATTGAGAGCCCCATCAAGGGGCAATGGCGGCGGCGGTGGTGGTGCACTGTCTTCCACCTGCAATGCTGTTGGTGAGATTTTTAAGATTGCTGCCATCCTCAATGGACTCACTCTCGTCGGAGTTGCGGTCGGATTCGTGCTTCTTCGGATCGAAGCAGCGGTTGAGGAGGCGGCTGAGGCTGAGTAAGGAGAATTTTCAGATGCCTTTGATTATGTTTGCTTATATCAACACTGTAACATCTCTCTTTCAAAAATACTTGATTTTATGTAGCAATGATTAATATTTTTAGTTTCTTGAATTGCATTGAATTGAATGCTCAACAATCTCATCCTAAATTGTGCCTGCCACTCTGTTAAACATAATTGCAATGCCTAATAAACCATTTCAGAAACTAGGGTTGAACCAAGTTTTGGTTAGAATGTTAATAACATATCCCTTTGCTTATTGTTTTGGTCACTGTTCTAAAAATCTCCGCCTACTGCTGCTTAAACCTTGCCTAGGCACTAGGCGGTTGGCTACTGTCCTGATTAATCTCTAGGCGTTTGAAAATTAAGAAAATGCACCTAGACCTGCTTAGGCGTTCACCTAGTCAGCCTAAACCCGCCCACTTAGACAGAAAATTGATAACTTTCGTTTTGCATTTTAATTTTTCAATAAAATGTAAGAGACTTGTTGAATACTTGGATGAACACTCATTATATGCTTGTTCCCATGTTTTCAATATGTTCTACTACTTTATAATTTATATGTCATTAAGTGAAAATAAGCACTTATATATACAATATATAATAAATTTACTTAAATAAGAAGAAAGATAAAGCATTAAGCAAGGCACATGTGTCATATTCTTTTGGGTAAGGGAGGCAGACGTAGTTCCAGCCACAACAACACGCAGATTGGAAGCTTTATTGCTTTTGCATGTCGGTTGACCATTCGCGCATTCACTCACATCCCCTCCAGTTTTCACACTTGCACAAACACGGGATTCATGAGCGTTCATCGTCACCTTTTCAGTTTTCTTCATAAGCAACGGGAAATGATTTCTGCACACCATTATTTTATTATGCAAGCTTTTGTGTTTGTTTTTGTTCCTTTATTTTACTTTGATTTGTTCAATCTAAAAGGAGAAAATGTTAGATAAGCATTTGTTATGGTAAAAGAAAGATCAAAACGCTCCTCGATCCAGCCCATTTTAATAAATTATTGATCATATAACTATAAATCAGAAGGGATCGAACCCTCGACTTATCATGTTCCCCAAAGGAAGGCTTGCCCCAAATAACTACCAAGTTTTCTAAGGATGTGCTTCCTTGAAATCATTTATGGCTATAGGGACATCTGCTCCTCTACTCTGGAGTTGCTCATACTCTATTGACAGCTCCCTTGGAATGCATTTGCCTGCAAATTTCAGGCATGTGCATCCTGTGAATATCAAAATTCCACAAAGTATCCAACTAAATTGCTAGTTTGCCAATGCTCGTGCCCTAAAATCAGCCTTACTTGTCCCACAAGTTACCGCTCCAAGCGTGCTATCACCGTTACCCTCAACAAAATGGACAACGCAACCCTTCGGAACAAACCTAAGAAACCCATAGCATGAATCCCATGTTCATAAACCAGCAACCCTGAAAAACAACTGAAATCGAAAGAACAAGTGCTGCAGGAAGATTGGTTCGGAAACAAGTTGCTGCTACAGCTGCCATGACGGAAGCAAACACAATGAGCTGCAACAACCAGTGGTAATGCCCTTCAAGCCCAACATGGTCCGCTGAGTGGAAATGGAGTAGGAAAAGCTCTTGGCAAAAAACAGAGGCTACTAGTATTCCAACGACCCGGATAGGCATGGACGGAGCCAATCAAGGCTCACTAGGGACAGATGCTCCCACTCAAGTAATTTGTTTGTTAAATTGCAGACTTCAGTTATATAATATACACGGGTTATCTTTGTAGTAAATATATGTATCTAATGTTCAACATACTTACACACTACTTCACTCCATAATATGAGCAAAAGTGCTCTTGTTCTGACATTCAAACCAAAAAACCTTATCCCGCCTATCATGTAGAAATATTTTTCTCATCATTTTGCCACTTTCCACTACTAGACTAAAATTTTTGTACCATTGGAATTGTGATACACCATCATTTGAAATCATCCATATTATCATATTGGGTATTAAGCCATCCTATAATAAGGTCTTCTTAGTCATTTTTCAGGATGCCCCTACTAAAAGAAATTTCTAGCTTCGTCCTTGCGGATAGGGTGTGAAATGAATGAATCAACTCAGCACAAAGCATAAAGGCTGCAAATACGATGAGGTGGAGGAACATGGTTGCATGCTCCAAGTTATGGAGCTTGAAAGAGAAATGAAGAAAAGGGAAGTCTATAACTTGCATCAGAATTGCCAATACAGAGAAAGATAAGATAAAAATGAGCTCCAAGTGTTTGAGTTTCGAAAGTGGGGAATTGAATGGGTACTAAAACCTTATCGTAAAGTTATTAGGGCCTTTGAGAAAATAGGATCTGATAGTGTTGACGGTGTGCCATAAATCAAGGAGGGTGAGAGCAAAGCCGGGTACTATGTGTCAGACAAAGGTCCCCATTGAAAACTAACCTTGACAGATCAGGGTTTTCGGTGCATGATCTGCAGCAGATAGAGCTTAATTCACAATAATCTCCAAACATACCTTAAATACTTGAAGCCAAAGCAGTGGCAGAGGACACTAAAAGCACTTGGTGCATGATGCATGTGTTTCCACAAACAAAATAATTCACAAAACGACACTTGGCTTAGTGTGACAACAAAATTAGTATCTGACATGGAAGTGTCACCCCATGAGAAGATTAACGGTGTTACTTCAAGCTCACGAAAATTACATTATACTGAGATTTCAAGCTGATTAGTTTAAGTTAATGCTTATTAGTCGATTTGCAAGTAGTGGAGAGTGAAGTGGTTTTCAGTATAGTGTGTGTGGCAATTAAGATGTTCCCACTAGTTAAAAATATATCTTTATTCCTGTGGTCCTTATGCAACTAAGGAATTGTAAAGTGAAGGTAAAAGTTGTAAGATTCCTGGGATATTACCTTGCCACTATACGAGTGCGTGGAAGATGGTCATCTTCTGAGTTCAACTGGTCAAGCGAACTGTTGAACTTCTCGGAACCTTGAAAAGAACAACAGTTTTAAATTTCACAGCGATCAAATTTTTGGATTTGATTAACTAAGGCATAGAACACATCTATATCAAGCAGCAGTACCTCAAACCTACTCATGTGAAATCTAAGCAAATACCAGCAAGAACCAAGAAGTTGGCTTCGATTACGACTAAAATATAGCAGTGACCTCGCATTTCAGTTTTCAATTTATCCCAGGAAAACAAAAAAAAAAGGAACAATTCACAATCTAACTAAACTAACATAGTGATTGCAATTTAATGCAGTTTTAAACCTTCTGTTCCAGGTAGAATTGAAAAGGAAACAGGAATAAAGGATGTGGCTGCTCCCAGATATGTATAAAGATCATCAACAAAGAGTATCTAGATACAATGAAATTCCAAAACGCATTTATTGAGCAAATATGACAGACTTTACTGCTATAAATTAACTTGATGACAATACCCTCTTTATGGGGATGCATGATACACCGTTTACAATTAAACAAAATTCAAGTCTAATGTATGCACATGGTATAGCTCATAGCTCACTAGTCATGACCAAAAAGTAAATAAAAAATGACAAAGGAAAAGTTAAATCATCTTACAGCAGTGCGTCCTTTGGGAACCCATTCAGTTATTTCGAATCAACTACGATAAAACTATTGAAATATATAGATATCTGAGATGATTAAGGGCAGAATTTTGGTTTGAGACCACCCGTTTCTCCTTGAAAGCAGAGAACGTGGATGGAAAATTCATGAATCGCCCTTCCTCAAAAATTCATCAACATTCCCAATGCCCTCAATCAGAGAATAATATGTGTTGTCATTAGGTCTGATGCCTCTGCTCGCCATTTCTTTCAGGAGCTCTTCTGCAAGATCGCCTTCTTGGTTTTTGCGTACTCCTTGTATGAGGGCATTGTAAGTTAGAACTCTAGGATTGAAACCTATACTCAACATCTCATTGTGAACCTTAAAGGCATCCTTCAAATCACCTCTTTTACTGTAACCACTAATGAGGGTATTAAAACTAATGTGAATGGGTTTAATTCCTCTTCTCTTCATCTCCTCCATTAGTTGACGGGCTTCCTCAACTTTCCCCTCCCTGGAACACCCTTGCATTAGGGTATTGTAAGTCACTCCATCTGGATGGACCTTCATCTTATCAATCGTCTCCAAAAGTGCAAATGCGCACTCCATGGTACCATTAGCACAGTGACCATCAATCAAGGCGAACATCACAAGATCCAGCAGAACCCTTTCGCAGCAATTTCTTAAACAAGTCATCTGCCTCCTGCATTCTTTTCCTTTTTACTCAAAACATAAATAAGTGACGTATAAGTTACCTTGGTAGGCTCTCTATCCATTACTCAACATTTCGTCACGGAGACTAAAGGCTTTCTTTGCAATCCCACTTCTGCAATAGCCATTAATAAGGATATTATAAGTAATTGCATCAGGATCCATGCCCTTATCTTTGATTTCTTTGACCATATCATCAACTTCGACCATTTTTCCTTCCATTAACAATGCATGAATCAACAAATTGTAAGTTGACACAGTTGGCAGTACACCCTTCTTCACCATCTCGTCTCTATAACCGAAAGCCTTGTCCAGATCCCCTTTGTTGCAATAACCATCAATCAAGGTGTTAAATGTCACAGCAGTTGAAACCAGCCCAATTTCCAGCATTTTATCGAAAAGTCCAGATGCTTCCTCAAGTTTTCTTTCCTTGCACATGCTGCTAATAATCAAACCATAAGTGTAAGAATCCGGCTCCACGCCTTTATCTTTCAATGCACTAAAGAGCATCTGAGCCCTTCCAATTCTCCCAACCGAACAATATCCGTGAATTATAGTATTATAAGTGACAACATTCGACTGAATGCCCAAAATCTCCATAAACCCAAGAAACTCCGTTGCCTCTTCAACTTCCCTTCTTTACACAACACATTGATCATTATGTTAAGGGTAGAAACACTTGATTTGATCTTCAACCTAAACATCTCGGCATACAAAACCCACGCCCTATCCGTGCGATACATCTTCAAGAACATACTCAACATGTCATTGCACGTCAAATTATTAGGTAAAACACCTTTATCTTTCATCAAGTAAAAGCACTCAAGAGCCTCATCAGCCCT